GCCAGTAGTTTGGCACTTTGACCACTGGCCTATCTCGAGCTCGACATACGTTCAAAGTTGTATGTATTGGTTGTGAAAAACTTGGTATGCTGCATATGCGCATCCGCCCGGGAGCTACGTACAAACTACGTGCCATAGATTAGAACAGCGCCGGCTGGACCGGTATCAAAGAGACAAACCAGTGTTTATTTCTTCGACCAGATAGTTGCTCCTAGGTTAAAAGCAACAAAATGCATTTAGGTCAACAACTAGGAGATACTGGTCTGTATACCGGACAGTCATTGCTTGCATTTCATTACTATCGTCAGTGCTTAGAAATATAGCTAAGAATAGCTGTGAAGCCATTAAAAGGTAGAACACCTGGCACAACTAGTGTTCTACGAAGCCAGGAAATTGCGACGCAGTTGTTGCATGCGCGATATGCTAAGATAGTTGCAAAGTCCCAAAACATGGTTCCTGAATGCGAAGCGGAAGGCCAAATAAGCGAATTGCGACTGTCTTGACAGCTACCAAAATTTCGGCCTTCGTCGTTTTGCTTGGCCAACAGGCACCCGGTAGATTGGTTGAAACATTTCCGACACTACCAGTGCACTAAAGATAGATTCCTGACAATCGAGGTGGCGTACACTTTCGGTGTTAATAGCTTGTGCTTGGTCAAGACGTTTCTATCAATGATATCCATTTTTCGGTTCTCAAGTTTCAGCCCCGTGGTGGAATGCGCTTGAGTCAGGCTGAAAGCATGAGACTTCCTAATTCGCCTACGGAATAAATCGCACAAATCACTTGCATAGGTATATCAATTTCTCGCGGCTGTATTCACCTTGGCGTGCATATTTTAGCTCTCAAGATCACTTAACCTATCGACCCAGCGGATTGGCCATAACCTAAGGCGGCAGGTCATACTCCCGTATAAATTTCCAAGGAATGTCAATTAAGCTCACAAAAAATCACGTTTAGTTGTCCGTCACCGAAAGTGCGTTTCATTTATAGCCGGCCGTTCATACAGCAAACATGAAAACAACTTTAACAACCCCCAACCAGTAGGAGGCAAATAACTGTACGTTCAGTTGTTGATGGCATACCAAAGTAGAGCTACCTGCAGTGATGTCAGTCAACGAACTGATGTCACGTGTCGTGAACTGTGGTCTCAGGTCCCAAAGGAAGAAAAATGACGAAGATCGTTGTGGCAGAAATGCCGGCTGGAACTGAGTAGAATTTGCGAAGGTTCGTTTTGCCTAACTATCTTACCTCCACATATAGTGGCGATCCGGCATCATACACAACCGGTAGCTGAGGGTTGGGTTTTCAAAAGCGTCTGTAATATTGATTTTTGCCCAAACCCTTCTAAAACGGTTTGCGCTGCTGTTTAATATTAGGATTTCCACTAATGTATTCCCTCACCTGCTAGCTCATACAGATGCTTTTGTACAGCGATGAGGCAGACAAACCTGATGTCCAATTCACTTTGAATAATTACCTATGAATTTGGCTTCATGCTTGTCACCCCGAAGGACTATCACGAACAAGTTCTGAGAACCAATTTCCAATACTAACAACGAATACATTCCGGCATTACCAAGCTAGAGCAAGCGAATTCTGCCGTAAACTTACGGATACCTCAAACCTATCTGGCAGACTTTTTCTTGACTGGATGGTCATGGGTTCACGCTTGTTGAAACTAATAATCATTACGATTATCAGAAAAAGCTAAGACATGGATTCCCGCTTGCATGTGAACACACACAGGAGAGTTAAGGTACTCGGGTTGATTTGTTCACCTGACAATGGATACGACAGTTGCCTCGTGTACCAATTCTTCGTGGACAAGTCCTACCAAATTTCTTATTTTAGATCAACTGAGAGTCATCAGGCTGGGACTGAAACCACGGTGATTTCCCAACTACTACGACGAGCTAAAACAAATACTATATTTTAGGGCACAAGTAATGGTCAACTTTCATCCAGCTTTCTGTTAGTCAGGACTTCCCACTGCTATCATGTGCGTCACCCACTTGTCACAGGCGTCTATGTATTCAGCTTGATCTAGTACGCTAGCATGGAGAGATTTGTAACGTATGTAATTGTGACTTCCTACCGTTCACACTATGGAAGCCAAGCGGATGTGCAAATGCAAGCGACGAAGGAAGAGGAACTGAGATGACATGGAGGATGAGAGAGAATTACTTAACCACAGTAGCTGACAGCAATGGAGCGTTGGCTAGTGCAAGGAAAGTCGAGAAAGAGAGGTATAGCTCCTTCCCCTGTGTTCAGCTGATTGGTTAGCTTATTTTTTTGTAATCAGCACGTTTTAACCAGAAAGAATAATGCCAAAACGGGGCTTCACGGATTGGCAACCAGATTTTCCCAGAAGCAGCTGGACAGTGCGGAATAACTTGACAGTTCGCTCACTACTGAGATCACACTAACACGCAGCATAGATCCCAATTTCAACTGGGTCCTTTTAGTGTACTGATTCAAGTAACAGAACTGTCATCCTGTTATGTATTCATGGGTTCGTCTGCTGACTCGCCGCAAATTCAAAACCCAAGCCCTTGCTCGTTTTTTTACCTACAGTTCGACCTTCGCCTGAATGAGCTGATCTACGTACTCGTTTCGCAGCAAGGGAAACGACAGACGTTGCCCTCCCCCAGGCCTGCGGTCGTGACAGTCAAGTGCAGATCATCAGCTCCATCCTTCTGCCCCGGGCGCGGCACTCTACCGGTACAAATGAGTCATCCCATCATGGTTGCACACGGCGCATCCGATCGTCTTAGGAATATGGGATCAACAGACTGATCGATCTTCAACAAGCGCAAACATACACGTCTAAATGGTGAAAGGTATCCAAGCGCACGAACCGAGCGATCGTAGCACTCGTGTCTAGTGAGGACGCGACAGCGAACTGCCAGCTTTTCGTTAATTGAGCTGGATTGGCAAAAAAACTATCACCATCATCATCGTCATCAGTGACAGCAGCACCGGAGAAGACCGGTACTTCAATGTCGCATAACAACAGCAATTCACCTGACTAAAGACCGATGAAGGGATGAAGAAAAATGAGACACGGTGGGGGACTTAGGGCTAGCCTGCCACGAACATGCGACGCACCCGCACCTCAAACAATGAGCCAGGCAACCTGGATGGAAACCTGAGTATGAACGCCAATGACAGTGGTTAGTCTCCATATCTTCCAGTGTCTCCAGCCAAGCACAGTGAGAGTCATGTGGGTAAACATTCAGATGTCTCGTAACATACAGCATATCCTTCTACCATGCCATAGTCCGTATACCTTTAGGTTTCCGACATTGCGAATAAGGCGCGGTAAACAATGCTCTTCTCTCCGGAAAAACGGCAAAATTTTCACGTTATTCAGATCCCTATACTGAACGCACACGTGCAGCTTCCGTTCAGACAAACTTACCGCATAGATCGCAAAGGCAACACTAAGATGTAATCAGCAGACAAGAGTAGAGTACGAACTAGCGATTTCCAATCAACGCCACATGCACCATGCGATAGTAACGGCCATGGTTTCGTACATATGCGGAAATCAACCAGTCTAGCCTGCAAAAGACAACTGTAAGTCCAAAAACTCGATAAAGTGGTCCAAACCTACTAACAATCCACTTAGAAGCAGTAATCAGTGCCATTCAGCACATAAAAACAACTGCATTCAGTTCGTGTAAAAGTTGTAAGCTAAGGTGCAGTTACCAAGGTCTTGCTCACCAAGATTGAGGGGAATAAGCAAAGGATAGTTAAGAATCGGAATTGCTAACCTAAACAGTTCTTTGATGTGAAAATTCCCTGGATGGGTGAAAAAGTGGATAGTACAATAACTGCGTAGTAAAGATGATTGGAGGCATGGCCCGCTAGCGCGCATGAACGTCATTAGCAAGTGATGTCCAGATGCAGAAGTTGCCCAAACATGGCTGATTTAAGTGATAAGGGCTTTCGCCCTTGGTTTCCACCGGGCGTCTTTCAGCTGTCGCCACTCTGTACACGACTTGAGAGTATGAGGCTGACTGTACTATGCCCCGGTTTTCCCTTTTTTCGCACCCTTCACTGGAACATTCTTCACACTTGCCGTATGGCGGCATGTAATACTGGTATACTATTGTCGAAGGTGTTGACGACAACATTGCCAAACGGGAAAAGCTCTACGGAACAGTCCGAAGTGTAACTGGCTCCTTCATCTCGAGTGAGCTCCTTCCTCTAAAAGCCATCCGACGAGTACCACGCTTGCCAACATATGAGTAGCATGTCCCAGGGCTCCACATTACTCTCTGAAGTGGTCCAATTTAGATGAATGACTGCACTGTTTTCTGCCGCCCTATGCAGCCGTTTGAAAGGCCACAAAAAGGTAATCGCTATACATACAGATGAAAAAACATGGCATGACTCACGCCTACCCTCTGAGTCAGAGTTGCAAGCATGGAAACTGCTGTACACTAAAAATAACACAACCAAACGCCTCAGCGACTCACTGTGACTGCTGAGCTCGCCTTGAACGGTCGTTTTATCGATTAAACCGGAACCCGAGATTCGTACTCCTAGAGGATTCACTGTGATCGCTTTGGTTTTTGAATATAGCGCCGACATTCCGCGTTCTAGAATTATCTTGGGTTCACCTGATGACATCGTCTAGCAAAAGCTATCAGTTAACGCTAGTGAGCTTATATGTACGGGGTTGACTTGCTCAGCTTTGTCAGACAATTGCTGATCGGTTACGTCGGAAAATACAGGTGAAACTGGCTGGTTCTGCTTGTATAACTCTAGAGGTTCAAGATCTTCAACAGTGCGAATCAAACAATAGGCCGCTTCTATACCAGTCAGGGAAGATAGCATGACAGACACATCATCCCATATAAACAAAATACTAAGTAGCTACAATTCAAAATGTAAGTCTAAACCGTCGTACACTGACTCAGTTATAAGGTATTCAATTAAGTCGAACACCATATGTGTACCACCACATGATACAGAGTAAAGAAGTCACTCACCTGAATTAGGCCAGACAACAGAGTAACAGTTATTGCAACCTTCAGCCGGTAATCATATACCACATTGTCCGTTGAATTGCTCGTAATGTTGACATCGGCGAGCGTAGCAGCCAAGCGGTCAACTGGTGCCGCACTGAGCAGAGCAACGACCGAGAACGTGCCTGCAGCGTAAAAAAAACAGGTTATAAGTCAAAAAGAGAAGCCCCGAATTCTACTCAAGGACCGTCTCATGTACTGATTACGTGCGCGTTCCAACACCGTTAAACAAACAACGAAAGAATGAAAAAACCTCACATGATCAGAATAAAGGACATTAGCTTCACCCTTTGACATCAATAGGCAAACGAAGGATCCACTGGAGCAGCGAATTCCAGGGTGTCCATCAAATGCACTACATAGACCGCATTGGTCACTGTGTGCTTATTAGCTATTTCTGATTGTGAGTCGAGGGAACAGCTTAAGAGGAAAGTACACACCTGAGTCTGACCTTGGTAGAGCCGAATACATTAACTTAGACCTCTAGGAGGCTGATAAACAACTGCATTTATATCCATTATAACCACTATAATCGCTAACTGTTTCTGCGAACGAGCTAGTAGGGTGGAAATACTTGAATCCCCAAGCCAGCTTGAGTTCGGGCACATGGGTTAAGGTTCCTGAACATGGTACACATGGGTGCATGTACGCGTTATCTGTTAGCAGTTAGAAGACGAACAAGAAACTAGTTTGTAGAAAATGTAATTCTGGCCGGGTCCTTTTGGCACAATGTACACGCCCTTGAATCTGTGTATCTCAACAGCCCATAGGTTGCAAGAAAAACAGTTGGTAATACCTCGAGTCAATTGATAACTCACCATAATGCACGTCCACTATCCATAAACAACAAAAAACAAGTGAAAACTGTACGGACACTAAAGGGTAGTTGCATTATATGGCCACGCCAGTTTACTTCGCATCAGAAGCTAGAGGTACCTCCAATGTGTTACGTACACAGTAATTGGACACAAAGTATGTTCCGTGATTAGTCACATTGGCGAATATTTCACAAAGATGACAGAAATCCCGTGCGCCATGTGATTTCGTCGGCTCAGATGTACTGAGCTGGAAAGGTACATACGTAGACAGGCCAGATTCAAATGCACTATGTCGCGGGCAAACCAGCTAGTGGGAATTGAAAAGCCTGTAATTAAATTTATCAACTTGTGCGAAATTCCGTTACAAATTATTACGAGTTACTTTGTCAGTTTCAGGATATTGTGGCTCAGTTGGAGCCAGAAGTTTACAGCGGATGATACAGCTTTCATCCCCAAGTGTCCACGCACCACACCTGATGATCATGATTTGGAGTGGCGAATAATTCCACCTTGATGTGATTATGAATTAAGCTGTTCTAATGCCTGGCAGCAACACATTATTGGGCGCTTGGAAAGTCGATGGAGTTCATCGATATCCAGCGAATTCCTTTTGATCTAGCTGCGTAGCCACAAATTCACTTCTTGATTGAAAGTTGTCCCGAATATCCAGCCACCGGAATGGAATACTATCAAATCAGGGCAGCTCAGCGGCCAAGGTACGAAACCATTAACCATGCATTTCAGACCCGAACCCGGTCTAGGTTTTTAGCAACCTGGAAGTATCTCGGCCCTCACGCTCGTTTTAAGTTGCATACGAATATGCATCAAAACGGTGTCACAGCTGGACACCCACTATTTTATTCAGTCAGCTCGGTTGCGAGTGCAGAGGTAAGGCCAGTAAAAATTGGCGATCGTTTGTGATTTAACCTAATGACAGAGTCTAGCAGAAGGGGTCGTAGTTTTCACATGGTCGGAGTCCATAATAGTGCTGTAATATATTCTGCACCAGCAGATGACTTCGACGTGGTCCTGAGAGGACCGAATGCACCGAAAATGAATACCGGGAAGGCTGGAATAATTTAAATAATCATTTAATTTTATTTAATTATTTATTAATTGTCCAGTCATTGTTCGTCTTAATTATCAATTATTTAGTTACTTACTTAAAACGGGGTCAAAAGACATCGTTCGCATCACAACACGGGCGTTGTGCTTTCTTGTTCCCATTCGTCATGTCTTTTTATTTCAGCTTAGTGTTTTCTACCGAATCTGGTTGAGATGGCTTTGATAAACCTGGATATATACAGTATTGAAGTAGAGAGCACAATTTCGAAAAGCAAACGAAAATGTTCCACTGAGGATAACATACATCAGTAACGATAGTTTTTATTCAACTCACCTACAGAAATGTGTCGCGAAGTTCCGAAGAAGAAGTAGACCAACGGAGGGAAAAAGGAAGTGTAAAGTCCATTGATGGGTCTTAGTCCTGCGAGATAACCGTAGGCCATGCCTATTCACAGACCAAACATCATTGGAAATGAAATTTTACCTTGTGGCACATGCAAAATCGACATAGTTATACCAGCAATGACGTCGTGTAAGAAGGCACGTAGCGTGTAAAAGGATGCAAGAATGCTGTAGAATGGCAGAATATATGATACAATATTTCGGCAGCTGAAAGATCTGCAGCTTTGCTTCAGTCGAGGAAGAAAGTGCTTTTTCTCTTTATGCACCCTATTGTATGCGGTTTGGAAATCTTCGACACTGAACACACGGCGGGCGATATTATAATCTAGCTCAACCGGTATTCCTTCGGCTGGCATCTGAAAGAGATCAACCAAAAACTTAAGATAGCACAGTCGAAAGCCGATTTTTGGTTAAGCATCAATGATTAGCAGAAATGTCTCGTGACCCACTGATGACGCTCGTCCAAAGCGAGATAGGCATAAAAAGGTGAAAAATGTGCGCCAATAAAGACCTGTCACCGGGAGGTAAATATTCAGGGTCACTTGATCCGTCGACAGTACATGGCTATGCGCGATTTATCGTTTGACAAGCCATTTGATTGTTTGATTTGATTGTTTCGTAGGCCTGATCAAAAGCGAATCGTGTTTTATGCTGACGTTGGAGACAGTAAAAACCGCTGTTGTATAAAGTTAGAGGATTCCTATTCCCCGGCCTATTTCGTCAACAAATACATCAAGTTCGAAGTGGATCACTGTGGTGTTTCTATTGCGGATATCTAAAGGTATGGCTGGAAATTTCACGACACATTTACGAAACGACCACGCGGAACAGTTGTCCGAAGATTCAACTATCCTACGTGCCGGTAGTCCCTCAAAGGGTTATCTTTATCTGGGATCTACTTCCATCTCCATAGTGCACTTGAAACGCTTTACTACAAAAACCCCCTGGTGTAAATCCTGGTGACTAGCACAAATTTTGTAGTCCGACTAGATGTTCATAGTCACCCAGTATATTATGTGTCCAAGTAAAGCAGATAAAGAACTAAACTTAGGTGGGTTCATGAACATACGAGAGCGAAAAGAACAAAGTGCATCGGTGTACCAAAATATTCCTCGAAATATGTAGTTGGAGAGGGTAGGGATGAAGGTCACGATTACTCCGAGAAATGAAATTTCGGAGGAAAAAACTGATTGCTACAGCGTTCGCTACACGACTGCGTCGGATATGACGACTACAGAGTGAGTCTTCAAAGAGGTATTATAGTATTTTGAGCTAACTACACACTGGCCCACAAATTATCCGGGTCATCCCTCGCATGCATAGATGTTCAAGTCACCCAGTATATTATGTGTCCAAGTAAAGCAGATAAAGAACTAAACTTAGGTGGGTTCATGAACATACGAGAGCGAAAAGAACAAAGTGCATCGGTGTACCAAAATATTCCTCGAAATATGTGGTTGGAGAGGGTAGGGATGGAGGTCACGATGACTCCGAGAAATGAAATTTCGGAGGAAAAAACTGATTGCTACAGCGTTCGCTACACGACTGCGTCGGATATGACGACTACAGAGTGAGTCTTCAAAGAGGTATTATAGTATTTTGAGCTAACTACACACTGGCCCACAAATTATCCGGGTCATCCCTCGCATGCAATCTGATTTGGACTCATTAAATCATGTAGCACGTTGGTTATGCTCAATATCTTGGCCGATCATATTGTATTTTCAACTTTTTATATCATTGGAGAAAACATTGAGACTGAAACAGCAAGGTATTCCACTCAACCTGCAACCTTAGAAGTGTATTGGAATGGCCTTTTCTCACAAATTTGTGGCAGCGGAGAACAGTATGTACAGAATTCGACCCTAAATGATCGCCTTCCTCCGGTTATGGTTGCATGTCTGCCTGTAACCTTCACAAAGCCACCATAGTTGGGGTAAGACATATTCAGCAGCACATACAGTAATCGGTGGGAAGTCTAAAAACTGTCAACTGCGCTCACCGAAAGCTTTTCCTTCTAATGTCCAACCAAGGTAGCCAACCAAACTTCAACCACAATCTTCGCTTCCCTCTTCTCATTGTGCCATGATGTTCTAAAATTTCCGTCCCAAGAGAAACGGATATCACTTTGCTCCGAGCCTTTTCTCGCTACCCTGCTATAGCCGTTTTTCCTAATCATCACATCTCAAATTACACACCACGTCGACGCGAAGCGTAGGCCAATCCCTTTCAACTTACAATTTCCCAACCTACCGATTGTCATCCGGAAATGTTCACCGTACACTGATCCGTACATTAAATCTATCTCTTTTACGGAGGATAAAAGCTGGTCTGTGTCTCGCCTATTCTTCAACAGAGGGCCTCCTGCAACCTCAATATCTACTGCTCAATTTCTTTCATTCACTTTCTCGGAAGTCATACAATCTTTTCTGCTAAAAGGTTGCGGCGTGCCAAAGAAAACGATGTTCTACCAGGTGATCACCAATACCAGTGAGGCATCATCACACCGCATAAGGCCTGCTGACGTACCTCAACTTTGGGTTTCCGCGTCAAAAAAAACTTGGAAAACGAAAACAATTTCGCTTGACATAGCGAAAGCGTTTGACCCGGTATGTAGTATGTTGATACTCCCTCCTAATTCCTATGTGTGGGCTAGGAGCAACAAGCTTGCAAACTTTTTGAGCAATTGGAGGCTCATAGCGTCAATGGAATGATTTTTCAACACTTCACGTCACTCATTGCTTACAGGGATGCTAAAGACTCTCCGACTATCCACAGGCGACTTTGCCCATCACATGGCTCATCAGCTAGACGTAGTCCTCGGTTTCGATGAGCCTTGCAAATGAGTGTATTTCGACAGATTTTCAACACGCTTTCCCCCACGGACCCTATTTATGTTATATAGAGACGACCTTTTCCTGTGATATCCTCATCTCTTACCCCCTTGCGGATATTACTTCTGTCTCCATCTTCATGTTCTATCACTAGCGTTCTTCGTTTCGGATTCTAAAGCAAGGTGTACAGAAACTTGCACTGTAACGGACGGTCCCGCCTAAATTCGCGATTGCAATTTCGAAAACTCTGCGACATTCACCTCTCCGAAGTCCCCTCTAGTTCTCTCACGCTTCATCAATCCTGCTAAAGCCCTCGGACTTTCCTCACTCTGCTAGCATTCCTGGCCCTCCTTCTGCCACGGTTCCAGATTAACACTTCCCTGACTTCTTCTGGCTCGCTCAAGTCAAGTTTATCGTTACAATGCGCTCAAGGTGGCAGCTTCCTGTTCCTCATCAACGAGCATTTTTCTGCCCCCAACTTCCTCAACTTCCCTAAATTCTGCATAAATCTCATAGTTCCCTCACTCTAAAACGCTGTCACATCCGAAGTAGAATCCCGTTCACACAACTAACAATCTCCTCATCGTCCACCATTCTTCCGACTTCTGGCAATCAACAGCTTCTCAAAGCTAAGATTAGAAGGCGCCTATTGACTTACCTTTACCATTTTTTATTTGTGCACATATTGGTGAAGGATCTCATCCGTAAACCATATGATGCATGCCGAAAAAGAAGGCCAGGGACTTTGGCTCCCCAGTTAAAAGATCCCACTTTGACGTGGTGGTCGGGTTTGTGTGTTGCTACGAACAGCGAACTTTGCTGTCTGCAACTAAGTTACACAAGGTACCAGGAAGGCCAAAGGGAAGCAGCCAGCCTAAGAGCAGCGACACTATGGATATTCGCAATATAGGTCTGCGGGGTAGAACTGTACTGTTCACTCCTATGGGACTGTCCAAGCAATAAAGTGTTCCTCCCAGGCGACCAGTACATTCATAGTTTCGGAAGCAGCGATGCTGCCTTCACCCTATGGAATACACGTTAGAAAAGGTCGGCTCGAGGAGTCGCATATTTTGATAGCCTAACCGTTTGCCACCAGTGATTATTCCACACGTGTGAAATACTGTTAAAACCAAAGAACCCGCTACCACAAAGGAGAGACCCACTGTGTGCAATCGCAGTAAGTCTAAAATTTATTTCTTACTCCCTACGCCCATGGACCAGGTAAGCCCCCACAGGCAAGTGGGCAAGAATGCTGAGTCATTTGCTCCGGAAGAGGTACCCCAGTTAAACTCTAACACCCGCTGTGACGTTCGGTGAACGTTTGTTGGTTCCTTCACACCTACCGACACTTCATGACTCTCATTCCACATTTCAGACACTGCTTGGAGTATAAACTTCACCTGTATTTTCCTTGACATTTACGTTCGATCTGCTCAAAGACCTGTGGTACAATCTTGAATGTACGTTCGTATTGAATCATTGCTATGTATTAACCATTGACACTTCTATTCAATCAATAACCGTTGTTTATTTGTTGTTATTACAGAACCATACCGAATACAACGACAGTCTTCTCGACTTAACAAAAGACTTCGGGTGCGTATACTCAGATAGTATCTCAGCCGCATATCTTGCATCAATCACCTAGGTTCAAAGTGAAACCTAAAGTTATTCAAGATGTCGCAATCTGACGATGGATTACGTCCTCCAGTATTGTCACGTAACGCTTCTCCTACAGAGCGTGACGCAGTGCATTCATCGGATAATCGCCATATGGAGCTGGAGCTCGCACGTCTGCGCATCAGAGAGTTGGAAATTCAACTTGAACTGCAGAAACTTTCTGAAGCGAAAGCCAAAAGGAACAATCAGGACGAATGCGATTCGCACACTCAACTTCAATCAGATCCAGCTGATTCGAAGTCCATAGCCTTTGCCCTGGAAAGGCGACTGGAATTACCGAAGCGCGAATTGCAACGCTTTAGTGGGAACCCGAAGGACTATTGGGCCTTCATGAAAGCGTTCAGTAGTACTATTGAAGACCGTACCCGAGACGACGAGGCTCGCCTGGGTTATTTAATACAATATTGTGACGGTGAAGCAAAAAGAAGGATTGAGCATTGTACGGTCCTACGACCCAACGAAGGTTACGGGCTCGCGAAGGAAATTTTAAGAAAGCGATTTGGCCAGAACTACATGGTGGCCCGAGCGTTTATCGACGATTTGATCACTGGGCCCACTATAAAAGATGGTGATTCGTCCGCCCTATCCGATTTGGCACAACAGCTGACCGTGTGTGAGGTAACATTAAGAGAAATGGATTATTCGTCCGATCTTAATTCCCAACATACGATTCAGACCATTGTACGAAGATTACCTTCTCGACTTCGTTTCAAATGGGC